TCTTCAAAATTTGATGTTTTTCTCGTAGTTTATGCACCTGTGTATTGTACTTTACCTTTTTCTATTAAATCACTTTTATATTATTTAACGTACATAGGTCGTCCGTTATTTATCAGAGTTACCATTTTCCTGACATTCTTTTCGTATTCGTAACCGAATTTACTTCAAAAGCTTTTCTTGCCGAAACCTATGATATGGCTTGTTGCTTTTGTTTACATGGACATGACGTTAACTACATTTATCATCTTTAGGTTACTTTCTCGTATTCTTTTACATTTAAACACAAATATTTGATTTCTTTTAAAACGGATTATTGTACTTTTTAATTTACATACTTACAGGATGTGATTAAAATCACCCTCTGGTGATAATTGTCAGAGGAAATATAACAGAAACTTTTACTATTTTATTGCGATTTAAAAGTAGAGAGAAATCTAAAAAATATTTACTTTTATAAATGTTTACATATTAAATTCCTACGTTAATGTCTAAATGGTTGTAAGTCTGGAAAGATCCATTTTTTTCGTTAACTAATTTTTATATTCAGCATCTTGCTTTATCTAATAGTCTCCTTCTTCTGGAACTGATTTTCGATTTTGTTTTAAACACATTATTTGAAGCTTACACTTTCTGTCGCTCGGATCTGTTGTTTCATCCCAGTTGTTAGGTTGGTCATCTCGTTCCGAGCTTGAACGTTGTACCCTCGCCTGTCTAGCATTTCTCCATCTAAAATCCGGGTATTCGAGCCATTTTGATTTTCTAGAAAATGAGTTTTTCCAGAAGTTTCGACCATTCAAATTTCTACTGAAACTCTACACGCAATATACAATAAGATAAAATAATTGTTAAGTCTTCTTACCGCACATAATATAAATTATTTTATGTAAAACGTTCAGTTTCTCGGTGTGTCAGTGGTACGTTCACAGATTTACAATGGTAGACAAAATCAGGACAAGCAGAGCGCATATAGACTGTTACTTAGCACCCCTACTTTGAGGGTATAAAACAACATTCAATTAAATTTTATCCTGCAAAATAAATATAACTAGATGTTTTATGAACTTGATTTATAAAAAAAATAATTATAGTAACAATATATGTATGGAGAATGACTATCCTATTTCTAGTATTTAACGAAAACATTTTTATGTATATTTAATCTTCTCCTGTGAATTTTCCTTCATTATAATTTTGACTTATATATCTTATGTTCAAGTCTTCTTCTTGATAAAGCCTTATAGACTAAACCGATGCGTTGTCAAATGTCTGACCCTGTGATATATTAATTGTGATGAATTTTATGGTGAACGGGAACTGCACGAAGGTATAACATTTAGTTAAAAATGCTTATAAATTTTCTAACTAAATTTTTAAGAATCTCTTCTCTAAGGGGAAAAACATCAATAATAATTGAAATCTACTGGGTGCAAAAAAATATAAATCTATTTGTATTTTGCCCGAATATTTAAAGAGCGAGCTTGTAAATATGATAATAAATGTATGAAAAAGGAATTAACATAAAATCTTGACTCGACTTGGATTTGAATACAAGACTTCCACATGATAGTCGAGCGCTATAATCACTATAAAACTAAGTCTTTTGTAAACTATCATGTTATTGTTGTTTTTTGTAATAGTGTAATGTTTTCTTAATACATTCATATCTTTCTCTAAACATGATGAGCTAATAACTGAAAAAAAGTTATAAAAAATCCACACTCGGCTAGGGTTTCAACTCGATGCTTTCGTTTGAACGTTACCAACAAAGAGTAGAACGTTACAGACAGAGGGAGCGTTACGAACACAGAGTGGCTGTATATATATATATATCGATATTCACTATTTCTGGTTTATTTTAATGTCTGTTGCATCTTTTCACTTTGTTGTGATGATTTACAATTGATCTAAAACCACCAAGTTCAAAAGGCAAGATTCGGATTAGCGATCTTAGTCAGTTTTAAATAATGTCCAAAATGTTCAAAAAAAATATTATAACATAAAAAATGAATTTTCAGATAGGATTTTACTTTTTAGAGATTTGTTCAGTTTCTTACAGAACTGAATTTATGAGGAAAATGAAGCAATGCGAGTCATCAAATTCAGAATACCCGACAACCATTGTTAGACTATTTACAACTAAAATATTACAACCGTTGTTAATTCCTTTACAACGTTTTGTGAATATCTTACTTGGATGATTCTTTACCCCTTGTGGGGAGATATTGTCAACAGACATTCGGGACTTCTTCCTTGCTGGGGAGGCTTTGGGACAACCAGAAGCGCTACGATGTGTCAGAAAACTTCCGTTCGCGTGTCCACTTCCGTTACAACCAGGAGTAGGACACCTGGTGACAGGTAAGCAAGACAAAAAAACATTTATAGGAATGGTATTCAATTACAACTCACAAACAAACGTAGGTTTGGATATTGTATATTGTTATTTGGATATTGTATATTGTTATTTGGATATTGTATATTGTTATTTGGATATTGTATGATTTTTGTAAAATGAGATTGTCATTTCACATGCAACAAAAGAAATTTATATTTTGTGAGCGTCATAATATTTTCAGGTCCATTTTAAGTAAAATTCAGGTCCACATGCTTATTTATCTTAATTTATTTTAACAGCTAATGGTGTAAACAACTAAGGAAATTAATAAAAAATCCACACAGTTTCAATTCCTGATCACTTTAATTTTCAATAAAAATATCAGAATATGTGAATTAATTTTCATATTTTTGTGTGTGTTTGGTAACTGGACTGATGTTATATATATTTTAACATGGGCCGGATATGGCCTAATGGTTAATATGCCTGGACTATGAATCTAACAATTCCTGGTTCGCGACTCGTTACAGTAAAACGAGCTCCACACTTCAGAGTCTAGGTAGGAAATAATAGTAACTGCTAAATCCAACTGTTCAAACCAACAATAGTAGCCCCTGAGGTGACGGTGGCTAATGTTAATTTGTTGTCTTCCCTCTAGTGTATCAGTTCGTAACTAAAGGCAGTAAGGCGCCGACAGACTATTTGTAACTTTGCACGAAATTCTGAAAAAAAAATTCTAATAATAAACTAATAAACATAATTAAACCAACTTTATTCCCTTTAAGAAACAGGGGGTTAAAATTTAAATCTTACAACAGATATTTACCCCGTTCCCTCCATTTTTAAAACTTTGCCATCGACAGCAAGGGAGTCCTGTAGGTGAAGCCTACTTCTCTTCACTAGGGGGCATCCAGAAGAGCTGGAGAAAAAAATAAATAAAAGCCGAAGAACGTAAGTTGTTAGCAAATCTTACTTTTGTGGAACTAAATCTTAAATCTACATTAAACATTAAATCTACTTCGTAATGATAAAAGGAAGTAATGTTCATTAAAGTTACTTCGTAATGATTAAAAAAGAAGGAATGTTCATTAAAGTTACTTCGTAATGATAAAAAAAGAAGGAATGTTCATTAAAGTTACTTCGTAATGATTAAAAAAGAAGGAATGTTCATTAAAGTTACTTCGTAATGATTAAAAAAGAAGGAATGTTCATTAAAGCTACTTCGTAATGATAAAAAAACTTTAATGAACATTCCTTAGCTTTAATGAACATTCCTTCTTTTTTATCATTACGAAGTATTACTTCGTAATGATAAAAAAGAAGGAATGTTCATTAAAGCTACTTCGTAATGATATTATTCTGAATTTGTATGGCTAGTACAAGAGTTAAAATTTCCTGTACGAACCAGGCTATATGTATTTACAGGTGCCTTTCTGTGGTCATCTTAAAATAACTAGAAAATACAGTACGTGTAAGACGTTTTAAAGCTTATGCTCGAAGTATGCTAATATTGGACAGAAATGTTAGCGAACACCAGAGTACTACTAGGTGGCAGCACTGCTGTCCTAATGTGAGTTAAGGGTTTTTGCGAAAACGGTCGAAACACTGAAGAACCTGAGGAAAATACTATTTTAATTAACGAAAACAAAAATACTTTATTAAAGTATTTAATAGAAAACCAGTAGTAGAAGTAGAGACTATCCGGATATTACCTTACGTAAGTATTGGACAAATCTACGTGATGGACACAAAAAAAAAACATGGAATTTGGAAAATAAATTTACCTGCGGTGAGTTTGGAACTTCCCTGTCACGTGACCGCCACCGTCACAACCGGGTATTGGACAACTAAAAAACAACAACAACAACCAATGAGATATTCAACAGTTAACAGCAGCATGATTTCCAAATAATTTTGCAGAAAAGCCATGAATGATGATAAAGAGGAAATTAAAATATGAAAGTTTCAAGCAACGCTTGTGCCTCCGGTGGCTCAGCGGTAAGACTGGTTGGTGGCTTACATTGTTAAGGTTCGGGTTTTGATACCTGCAGAGGGCAATGAACAGAGAGCCCATTGTGTAGCTTTGTTCTTAACAAATAAGACAATAAGCAGCCCCGGTTAATAAGAGGATCGGAACTAGCTCACTGGGGGCCCTAAGCAGGAATCTTTTTAAACCCCCTCACCCACCCTTGTAAATGTACTGATTACAATATGTCCACAAATCAAAACTACATCAGTATAATACGTAGTAATACACTAGTAAAAAATAACTTCTACTCTGTGTGTGTGTACTGAACATAGAAACCAGTCAGCGCACGCGCAGCTCACGTATACCTGACTTGTGTTTCAGGGGTCAGTGCTTGGATCCCTGCTTTTTTCATATTTACATTAGTGAGGTATAAGTAGTATAGTTTTCTGATGACATTAAACTTTTAGGTATTTCTAGCTGCACTGAGGATGTTAAAATACTACAGAATGACTTGGTCCTATTGATAATTTTGACAAATTAACTTTAATTATAGTAAATGCAAGTTAATGAATTTGGATTATCACTATTTGGATCACGCATTTAATATAGATGGGAACCTACTCAGTAGCGTGACTTAAGAAAAGGATCCAGGCTTAGTGGTGGATAAGTCACTCATAAGAAAAGGATCTAGGCTTAGTGGCAGATAAGTCACTAATAAGAAAATGATCTAGGCTTAGCGTCGAAACAGTGTTATGTTGCCTGGTTTAGAGATAGGTAGTTAAATAAATCCCCGATTAGGCCTCACTGTGTACAATTTTAATGCATTTTATTTTATCTAAGGAAAGATATTGACTTATTGGACAGAGTTCAGATGAGGATGATTCCGGAGATGGTTAATCTTTATGGATAGGTGAAGAGATAATCTTATCCAATTCACTCGGGAGTCTCTTATTCCTTTAGGCTATATTCTAAAGAGGGTAGACACAAGTTTAACGGTTGTTTTTTTTTGTTTACAGAGTTAATGAGTTTTCGCCAGCAATAGTGGAGGATGGAACTTTATAAGAGCTTAAAACTGAAAGGGACTATACGGATTCCTGAGAAATAAAGCGTGGGTTTAGGTGTTATTTGTTTTTTTTTTTCAAAAGTGTGCAGGGACAGCCATGAAGGACAACATGGTCCATATGAAAAGGGAACATACCGAAGATGTTGACTACCTTCTCCTAGCTTTTGAAGATTCTTAGGCTCGTTCACACGTGGACAACTGGACAAGCTTTGGTGTGAAGAGTAGTTTCCACTCAGGAGACCTAGTCTGTCACATCCGGGAGTTGGACACCTAGCGGTTGTAAAGAAAGAAGAATGTTACCCCTAATATCAATTTAAAAAAGACAACCTACGAGACCGACTAAAACATTAAAATAGAGAATTATAATCAACGTAATAATCACGAGAACAGAAAACTAAAATAAGCATAAAAAAAATCAAGAAAAAAAAATCGAAAACACAAAAATCACGAGAAAAATAAAAACTATAACCGACATGAAAATCTTGAGAGAATCAAAAATTATAGGTTGCGTATACATTTCGAAGCCTACAAAGTTTGTGGTAAATAATATAAGAAAGACGTTGTACAGATATAGGGAAATAAAAGTTAAGTATGTTTCCTGTTAAAATGACTTTCAGAAAGGTCCTTATGTTCCAAACGTAAGTCGTGTTCACGTTAATCAACATACGGTTCTAATTTAATGAAGTTTACTGATGCATCACTAGTACACAACAACTAATACAATAAGAAAGTTTAGGAAAAACTGACCAATGTTGCCCGCTCTGTTGTTGACCGCAAATACTGTCTCATTATAACGGGAGTTACGTGCACGCGATATAACCAGCTAGTCAAGAAGACACTCGTGCTGATAAAGTATGGATTCAACAGACTATTAAAGCAATAAATTAAATAAAATCACTGTTTATTTACATAGGAAAGCAGATATAAAAAACTTAGATAGTATACAATAATATATGAACACAATATTTCAGAAACAAAACACATTTTTTGATAGATTGTTTAGGTAAAATATTCATGACGAAACTAAGTTGAATGGACGATAGTGCCTGTTGTAGAAACACGAGTGTAGAGGACGACATTTCGAAAGACTTCCGCCTTTCGTTTTCAGAAGACCTGAAGATTAAAAGCGGAAGCACACACGTGTTCACTTATTTACTTGTAAAGTCGGATACTATAGCTTCATTTGGTTTCGAGTCTATTTCCAAACGTAGTTCCTTTTTTAGCATAATTCCCAACACGAAGTTTACATCTCAACTTGACATTCACATCTCTGGTCTTTACACTCGGGACATCCCGCTTTTTTCCCTTTATTTTGTGACAGAGTGTAATGACGTTAGCCTCTGAAGCCACGTATGAATGAGATGAGCGGCAGACGATAAATGTTTGGAAGCCACGTATGAATGAGCTGAGCGGCAGACGATAGATGTTTGGAAGCCAAGGCGTTAATTCCGAGAAAGCGTTATAACTGATGGCGTTATAATGAGGCAGTACTATACTGAGCATTCTCAGTTAACTCAGAACATTTTAACTGAAAACCGAGTGTCCTAAGTTAACTCAGAACATTTTAACTGAAACCGAGCGTTCTAATTTAACTCAGAACATTTTAACTGAAAACCGAGCGTTCTAATTTAACTCAGAACATTCTAACTTAAAACCGAGTGTCCTAAGTTAACTCAGAACATTGTAACTGAAAACCGAGCGTC